GCTTTAGTACCACTTGTGGCCGACAAGTCATCATTTGATTGCTTCGGAGATTATTTGACAGCACTTTTGCTATCATATCTGCCATTTAGAGATCAGTTACGCTTAGACTGTGTCTCAAAGCAGTTCCAGTGGTGTTTCAGACATTTATTATTTGGGATTTACTGGATATCGATACCAAAAATATCACTTCAAATACTCTATAACTGAAGAAAAAAGAGAGAAAACGATTGACTCATTGGAGGACTCGTTATAATTTGAGAGATATTGATAACAATTGGCATAAATTTATTCATTAATTTCTTACTAATCTTTATATTTGTTTTATTTAAACATTTTTTATATAGAAATTTGTTTACTTTTTGCGGCATTTATTCAGTTTTCTCTCTCTTTGTTTTGTTAGTCATTAATGACTGTTATATTATTATAAATTTAAATACTCTATACAATTGTTATAAATGATTTGTTATCTAAAAATTGGTGTAATTTATTAAATAGATGTCACACAAAACAAAATTGAAATATAGTTATAACAAATGTTTTTTAGTCTACAATTTAAAGTCTATTTATCTAAAAATTGAGTCCAACCTATTACTCTAATCTAAGTGTCCAACGGATGACAGCATAAATAATAAAAATGTCACTGACTTTATAATGTATTTAAATATTAATTTTTATTATTATTTATGACTATCACTTGTCATAACTAATCGGAAATAAAATAATTAAATATCTGACAAATATACACACATATTATTATTATATATTTGTATAAAATTAAAATAATGTCAGACAACTAAAGTGATTAAATATATTTTAAATGCAAAATATTTGCAAATTTAAGCAAATACTATGAAGTATTATAAAATTTAAATACAGCGTTGGTGTTGTATTTTTTTCATTTGCTTTAAATGTTATATAAATATTGTATATACAGTATAACTAATACTACTAATTTGTAAGAAAAAAATTAATAAATTTGACATTTGAAAAATTTTCTAAATATAAATTAAAACATCGGATATTCAATGATTTAACATAATTTGCATAATTATCAAAATACTTGGCACTAATTGTTATCCCATTTATAACAACAACAACAAAATCTGCTATAATTGACAGCCAATATACTGTATAGTATATTACAGTAAGTACTGTATATACTGTACTAACTTGTAAGTAGTGTTAAACTTATTATTATTATAATTTTTTGTTGTTATTTTGCATAATGTTTTGTCACATAATAAAATGTCCTATGTAATAAATATTTTTTTCTAATTTTAACAAAAAAAATAAATATAAATTGTATTTCAAGGAAAACAAAGAAAGCATTTTTTTTATTTTTTAAAAACAAAAAAAACTATTAGTTACCAAAACGTATTATTAAATATTTTGCTGATTAACATAAATAATTAGTAAAGTATCTGATAAATTCACTTTTTTAAATGAAATATAAATTTATTTGTCTATAAAGAGCACCCTTTCCTTAAATCATTATCGTTTGGTACCTAACAGGGCATCTACTTTGTTAACATTAATTTGCATTCAAATTAATTGATGTTTTCTTTTGTTAAATTTCTCTCTCTCTCTCTCTCTCTCTCTCTCTCTCTCTCTTTATTTTAATTTTTCTTGTCTTCACTGGTTTTTTATTTGTTTGTTTTCGCACAAAAAATATTTTACTCAAAAAAAGGATTTTGCTTGTTTTATTTTTTTCTCAATTTTACCCATATTTGCATAAACTTATCTTTCAAAATATATGATTATTTTATTCAACCCATAACTTATGGCAAGTTAAGTGGTGGTTATTATTAGTTATATAATACTAACTATAATATAATGCAGAATTTTTTTATGGCTTTTTTTATTAAAATCTTTATAATTTAATTGTTGATGTTTTGTAGTTTGCAACTATATATATATATTATATACCTTTTCATATACTTAATTAATAATAAAAAATACTCCAAAAATATATATCTATATTTGTTTTTATAATGTTTTTGCATAGATTACTTAAAATGTTTACATATATCTCAATATAATTAAATATTATTTATTGCATCTGATAATATTATCTGATTACATAACAATTGTTTGTACTAAATATAAGCTAAAAACAACTAACAAAACATAATTTATTATTTATAAAATTAAAAAAATTGTTAAATCATAAAATTTTTCATATTTTAAAAATTATTCATAAGTAAACATTATGATTTTTATTTTAAAATTATTAATTAAGTAAAAAACACCAAACAAATTGTTTCTTTTATTTCTCAAAAAATTTATGTGAAAAAAACAAAATTAATTAAAATTTTACAAAAACTAAATACAAAATTTACACAGTATTATAATATTAAATTTTAAAAATAAGAAATGTTAATAACTTAATTTTTATTATATTTAAAGATATAATATTACAGTTAAAGTTTTTATTTTTAAAAATATTAAATAAAAACATTTGCTGTTATTGTTTTATTTTTGCTTATATTTGCTTATCAAAGAGCAGCGGTACTTAAGAGACCTCCAGAAGCGACAAATTAGGAATTCCTGAAATAACTGTTTTTATATCATAAACATAATTAAATTTTGACAGAAAATCATATGCAGTTAAGCAATAATTTTTTTATGACATAACTTTAATAAATATAATGATATGGTAGTAATATTGTTTTTATTTATTATAAAGTGAACATATAGTATAGTTTATGCAAATAATTAAAAAAAAGTCAAAATTTTTATAATATATATACTTATATATATATATATATATATATATATAGACTACAAATTGTATGAGATCTAATTAATAGGTAAATCTTATTTCCGGAAACAATTTTTTTATTTAACTTAATTATTAAATATAAAAACAAATGAGTTTTTCAATCTTTCTTTCATTGAGTAGTTTCTCATACAAAATATTTTCATAGTAAATATATTAAATTTAAGATAATATATTTCTCATTATATGTCATATAAGTTTGTATTAATAAAAAATACTTTATTTAAATATTATCATATTATAGAGTAAACGACGAGTAATTTTCTGCTTTTAATGAATTGCTTTTAATTTGAAGGCCTATAATCATAATCAGTGACTTATAAAAAAGGGTTTGTGAAAAAAATTTAATACATTTTTTTTGCGTTTTTAAATACAATTACGTTATACAGTATTTATATATATATATATATTAATATTTAAAAAATAATTGTCATACCATTTTACTTAATTGTAACTAATACTAATTGTTTGTCATTTAAATATATTGCTTATAAATTTTGCATACATTTATATCAAGTAACAAAAAAAAATGTTTTATTATTGAAATAATTTTTGCATAATTAGTCACAATTTACATAATAAATATCAAAGTCATAGGAAGTCTCTCTTTTTCTATCTCTCATTCATTCACTATTAATGTCTCACGTAATGTAAACCCTTTTTTACTAAATTAACAATTTAAACAAAACAATTGTATAATTTGTTATATCATATAAAATAATGGATTATAACGGGAATAACTGTTTCCTTATGCTATGTGTTTGTAACTGTCTTAACTGTGATGAATGTTTTATTTTTTTGCGAAAAAATATATTATTTAAAAAATTTAAAAAATAGTGTAAAGAATAAATATAAATTTTTGTTCGTAAGAAAACTATTTTCTTAAATATTTTCCAAAACATTAGTTTCAAATGATAATAGTTTATAACATAAAATTTACTTTCTTTGAATCACGAAATACCGGTGCGTTTTTAATATGACTTTCTAATTAATAACAAAAAAGCAGTTTTTTCTAGTTTAACATTAAAATTTTGATATGACTACTAAATAAATCTTTTTAGAAAAATTATAACCCAAAAATATCTGTAAATGTTTTATATATTTTATCGCTTAAATAAAAATCTCAATTATAACTGTGTGTGTTATCTGTCATAACTAATAGCAATTATCAGAATTCATAGTTTTGATAATTTATTTGATAGCTTTTGAATATTAATTTACTGTCGAAACTCACGTTTTTTAGCAAAAGTGTATTCAATGAAAGTATTTTCAATTATTTTGTTTTTTTTAAATTTATATTAAATGTGAAACAACAACAACAAAAATATTTTGATTATTTTCGATGCGGATCCAAATTTTTATCAGTAAACTTTTACTTATATTTAAGCAACTTATATATATATATTTATTAAAATTATTTTTAAAATAAAAATGTATTTTATTGTCAATTTATTTAAAGCAACAATATACATAAATATAATTTGTTGATACAGTTTCTATAATGAAATACAATATAACAACAATTTATTAAAATTTTGGTATAAAAACATTAGATATCAATAATTTTTTGTTTTGATAATAATAATAATAATAATAAATATTTTTTAATTAAAAAATTACCTAAAAGATCAATGACAATTATATTTATCAGATCGTAAAGATTTTATTAAAAATTGTATTTATTTCAAAATTTATTATTTTTTATAAAACTAATAATATTTTAATGTGAAGTGAAGTGATGCATAGGTATGAGTGATTTGTGTCTCTTAAACAATGCATTGATGATTATGTATAGAAAGTTCAATAGTCAACAAAATTAGGACAAAGATATACACACAAAAAATAATAGTTTTATATTCAAATATATTTGAAAATAAAATTTAATATTTTTAAATTTTGTTTGTAAATACTTGTAAAAGTGAAATATACTGCTATAAAAAAAGAGGTAAAATCAATAATTTTTTATAAAAAAATAATTAGGACTCTTTTGATAATGTATGACTTTTTTTACAATAATTGTAATTATTACAAAATGCAATAACAAAATCAATTGACACTCTCAAAGTGTCTAAAAAATAATAAATTTTAATATAAATAAAATATTTTCCATTATGATAAAATATATAATATAAATTATTTGTATATATATATATTTAGATGCCAAATGTCAATAAAACTTGTGTGTGAATTTTGTAATAAAAAAATAGTAATATTAACTTTTCAATTAAAATATTTTTTTAAATTTAATATTTTAATATTGAAATTTAAATCTCTTATAATTTCTTCGCATCGGTTTCTCACAGTCTGCAAAAAAGGGACAATCATTTGGTAAGTATTAGATTAAGAGATTATAAACACATTAATAGAATATGAAAAGAAAAAAAATGTTATTTAGTTATTAAATAAATAAAAAAAGCAAAAAATAAATAGTTTGTATTAAATATAAACTACATCATTAATTATATGATTTGGTACGGTTAGGTAAAGGGGGGGACAGGTAGGAGAGGGGAAAATAATGAAACATTGAGTTAGAAGAAAGTTAGAGTTCAATCGACACTTACAGCAAACTTCACATTTGTTTTCATCGCTATCATCGCCACAGCCGTCGACTCCCGAGCACAGGACGGCTGTAGATCTGCACCGGTTGTTCTCACACTGAAAGGTACCATTTGGACAGGTTTTGGCTGTAATATGTCATATAAAATAAATATAAAAATCAAATAACATTATATGATAATTAATTATAAAAATTGAATATTAATTTTAAATATAAATGATTACATTTTTCACAAATCTCTTCATTTTCATCGCTGCCGTCCAGACAGTCGGCGACGGCATTACAGAAAGTGTATTGAGGCAAACACTGACCACTTTTGCAACGGAAAGCCTTATAATCACAGGGAATGCCTAATATAATACAATAATTAACATTTAGGTTACAGTCATATTTTAAAAACAAATTGTTAAAGTAATAAAAAAATATAACTAACCCTTATAACAACGGGCCTCATCTGACCCATCAGGACACTCCCATTTGCCGTTACACACCGATCCCCGTGATAGACATGTGCCGTCATTACACTGAAATGCTTCTTTAGGACAATCTATTACATAAAACATTGAATATTACTTATGTTAATCCATTAAACATATGAGGAAATGTAATGATTGGGATTAATTAGACATCAATTTCAAATATAGGATTAATGTCATATTATTAGTAGATTTAATTAGATTTTATAATTTAATACATACTGTGTTTAACACATCCTTCTTCATCAGATCCGTCGTCGCAGTTCTTGTTTTTATCGCATACGAAATACCATGAAATGCATTGTCCGTTACGGCACTGGAAGGTGTCGTTATGACAGCCTATTCATACATTTTTTCAAACAATCAATTTTATTATAGTTGTAATCAAAGGATTCATATAACGGTCTTAGAGATGAAAGTAATGATATACAGGTGTATATACAGTATGATAGACATGTAAAATAGGAAGTAATAGTCTAAATATATAAATAAGAGCACAGTTACCTCTATTGGCTACACTACATGACGGTGTCTTTGAGATACATTCACATATGCCTCCAATACATGCGGAAAATGGATCTCTTATCTGACACTCGACTGAGCTCTTACACTGCTTTCCAAGTGATACCGGATCTATAGTAAAGGCACTTTCATCGACATCTGAATCGATGGCATTTATTGGTGCAACTGTTAGATTGAATATTATATAAAACATATAATTTATTATAAAAGTAATCATAAAATTTATAAAATTTATTATATTCTTAAATAAATCCATTGTTTTATTTGAATTCAAAGATATAATCTGGAAATGTGTTTAAAAGTTTTTTTTATTGATTGAATGAATTCAATACCTGAAGGTTTGGTAGTTGTAGGCAATGCTCTGCAGTGCAGCTTATCGTCAGTCATCTCAAAGCCATCCCTACAAACACACGATTTGTCCTCTGATGACAATGTATTGGCATTTAGTTTGCAAACCGAGTCATTTGTGGCCATTTGACAGTCATTGTCGGCATAACATTGTGTCTGAAGATTGGGCAGACATTTGCCATCTTTGGTTAAAGTGTTTCCGAGAGGACACTTGCATTTGCCGTAAATGCGGGGAATTATATATTTGCAATGAGTATAGCGATCATAGAGTCGGCACTGTTGGTCATTCAAACAATAGTCTTCCACTTTAGCCGCTGTTATGAATCGGTATTTAATAATCAAAATTATTATATGATATTATATATGATATATTAATAAACAATAGATGTTTGACATACGGGGTAAACATTTATCTCTTCTCAATGGTATAAAATCCTGTTTGCACTGACATATGCCGTCCAGACACTGACTATTTGGCACTTTTAGCGTACACTGAGCGTCAATACTACACCCGAAGCCCAATAGTGACGCTATTGAATAGATAGATACATAAGTTGTTAGCAATAATATTGTCATATACTATACAATATTATTTATATGCCATCAATAGTGATGACAGTGATAGACATACCCGGGAGACAAGTGGTGTCATTGTATAGTATGTAATAGGGCTGACACGTGCACACCCTTTGATCCCAATCGCAGTGAGAGTTCGGTATAAATAGTAAACATTGAAGCGATGACTTGCACTCGGAATTCACCCGAAGGTCACTCGGTATCGGACCTAAACATCCAATAATTTTATTTTTTATTTTTAGATTGTTTTTCAAAATTTCTTATAAATTGTTACAAAAACTAAAACTTATAAATGCTTTTTTATTAATATATTTAAAAATAAAAACAATTTTTTTTGTTAAATATAGATGTCTAATATATATATTATTTTTTCTTAATTTAAAATTTAGCAAAATATCAAATTACTTACCTAACTTTCGCCAATAATTGACAGCACTAACATTTTTTGAATGTAATATAATCTGTGAAAAATATTTTTAAAAAACAATTTTTAAAATTTTTTATACTTAAATTATGTATATTAAAATTTTTTTATTTTTAAAAATTTTTAAATCTAATAATTATAAATAATTTCTAGGCACAATTTAAATCATCAAATTTATAAGGAAATGAAATTTTATAAATTAGACATCTAATTAAAAAAAAGTTTTGCATAAATTAGTTTTAGATTTCACTAAAATCTAATAAAAAATTTTGTTTGTATGCTATTAAAATTGTTTGCCAAAAAAATAAATTATTTTTGAAAAAACATCACAAATAAATTGATAGTGTGGCTCAAAATTATAGTGTTGTGTAATTAAAATGATAATATTGTCGTAAAGTTTATAATTAATTTGTACAAACATGTAATCATTAGCCAATGGAGTAAAATTATTTATGGGAAATAATTTTATGCATATTTCAACTAATGTTATTAAAGTCAATGAATTTATAAAATTAATATATTTAAACTCTAAATTTTAAAGATTAGTAAATTGCTTTACACTGTTAAAACAAATACAACAACAATAAAATAATAATGTGTTTATTAAGTTCAGTGTCAAGATTAACACTTCAACATACAGTATATGTATTATATACAGTATATATATATTTTTGAATGTTCACAAAAATCATTATTAATCTAACATTCACTCTATGTTTTGTATCAATAATTACTCATTAAAATAATCAACATCTTTGAATTATTAATGTATTTTAATGTAAGTTCACACACAGTGTTTAAAAATTTATGATTTACTAACTGAATGAGTGAGCGATTGAGAGTCATTGACAAAGAGAATGAGAGAGAGAGAGAGAGAGAGAGAGAGAGAGAGAGAGAGAGTTTATGGATAATCTGTAAAAATCCATTTACATATATAAATATTCTCAACATGTAATAAAATAACAATTATAATTAAATTATATTGTATATAAAAATAAATAACGTTATAAAAGTTCAAATGAATAATTAAGAGTTTCTTTCTCTCTCTCTCTCTCTCTCTCTCTCTCTCTCTCTCTCTCTCTCTCTCTCTCTCTCTCTCTCTCTCTCTCTCTCTCTCTCTCTCTCTCTCTCTCTCTCTCTCTCTATTTCTATCTCTTATATAATAACATTTACTGACATATGTGTAGCAAATAATTAGTTAATTATTATATTTAGATGAAACAAATGTATTGCTATTAGTTTATGATTAGCCAAAAATACATCATCAAATTTAAATGCAATTACCGGTAAATAATGGTAAGTTAATATCAATTGAAATATAAACAAAAATTGAAAAGAAAAACACTTGAAAAATATACATAAAGGGTTAGTACATATCTAGATTTCCCATTAGACACACACACACACATCACAGACCTTTGACCCTATGATATAATGCGTGATTCTGTTTACATATAAATGATTGTTGTTTGAGATACCGGTGCTGTTGTTTTGCAGCGCTTGACAGATAGACCACAGCACATAAACACCAACCATCTCATCATTGCAACTATCAGGGAACGGACTCTCCTGCATATTATCCATCATTATAGTGATCATCATCATTATGATGGGCACCCATCGAAAAAAAATTATAAAAATGTCTTAACGTAAACACAACCAATTTTTATGGAATAGTTTTCCGTATATATATATAATGTACATATAATATGTAACTAAATTTGGCAAAGACTTGCATTTTTTTTAGTTTTTCTATCTTTGAGAGAGAAAAAACTACATGAGCTGTGTATGTAATGAAAGTAAATTCTTGTCTACCTAACAATTGAAACCGACATTTGCTTAGATAAATTACATACTGTCCTTATCCATAACCCTCATAGACTCACTAGCTATCCATAAAAGTTGATTTGTTAGGACAGTTGTATTGATGTGACCCATCAYACCAACCGTATCTAATGTAATAATAATTTCTATACAACTGTTCAGTTTGATTAACAATAATTTATAGTAATATTTTATCACAGAATTGAAGTATTGTATGATAAATAAAAATTTATTATATCACAACTTATATTAATTTTGATTGCTTATACTAAAATAACACTATACTGTTATCATGATTTTTGTTATATTTTATAAAATAATAAAAATGAAGTAATAAAACTAAAAGTATTATATATAATAACCGGTCAATTACCGGGAGGGGTGTGTCAGATAGGGATCTCATTGTAGAAGTAAAAGTTTTTTTTCGATGCAAAAAAATCATAACAGAAAATAGATTTCACTGTTCAACTTTTTTATGAATTTTATATAAAGCAAAATAATAATAATAAACTATTTTACAATAGTAATAATAGATACATAATAAAGTTTTTTTTTGTTTTTTCATTTTTAAACAATCAGGTATATCATCAATTGGCCAAAAAGAGCAATAAGATGAGTGAATGAGAGAGAGAGAGAGAGAGAGAGAGAGTTACTACTCCTCCCAGTGCTATCAACTTAACAAAAGCACCGCTAAAATGGCTCAATTCATTTAATTCACTGTCGACTACCCGGTTCATCAACAATGATATGAGAAATATTTTGTTGTAAAAAATTATATACAAGTATTATATTGTGTCGATACTTGTTATAGCATATATACACTGTAGTCTAATAAATATAGTGCTATACATTATAATAGTATTGTGGTATAATATACCTGTACTTGTAATAATGTGTTTCAGATATATCACAATATACGCGATATATATTAAATAAGTTACAATAAAAGTTTTATAATAGATATTGAAATAAAAACTAGATATTTTATATATGATGTGTAATAATTTTAAATAAAAAAATTGAAAAAATAGTAATATAATATGATATTTTTCACGTATTTCATAAAGATAAGAAAAAATTGAAAATTATTTTTTTATTTGAATTCAAAATACTTATTTAAGGAAATATTTTTTTTTTAATTCTCAACATATTGTATATCAATTTATAATAATACTTGTTTGTACCAAAAATAAAAACAATATAAATTTTGTACAATTTTTTTTAAATTAGGCAAATAATTAATTTTATTGACCAAAAAATTTTTATATAATATATTTGAATTTTGAACACTTGACCGCAAACTGTTTTTAAATATATAATGTATATATACAGTAGTTATATATAACCAATAATATAAGAGGTGAAAACTTATTTATTTCATAACTGTTATCATCAATTGTGCGTTCATTTCATGGCATAGTATGTCAAGTGTAAGGAATTGCGTGATTTAATTTGATATTAAAATAACTATTTTTTTCCTGATAAGAGACCCGGTCTTAACAGATACTATACCTATATCTATTGTGTATATATAATAAACAGTTAGTTCACTATAATTTACTGACATTTTTTTTGTCTGTTTAGCGCACAGTTAGTCCCGAATAAACAGTCAGTTAATTGGCATTAATGTGTGCGCGACTAACAGCTAAGGAAAGGGTCTTTAATTATAGGATGAACTATAAGTACGGCACGCATTTAACTCTCTAAAGTTATATAAATTTATATATATATAAGTTTTGTGTCTAATCATTACTTGAAATAAATGTCTACATTTATATATAATATTATATACTGTATATAACTAATATATATTTCTATCTCTAATATTAAGTAATCTGCAACAAACAAATAAACACACATTTAATAATCACTAATTACATGTATTTTTATGTTTATCACAAACATCTGTATCTCCAATATGTGTTGTCAGTTATGTATGTGTTGGCTAAAAGTGGTTCCCAAAAAATAAATAAAAAAAGGTAAAAGGGTTTCGCATCAATTACTTACTTTTTAAATACTCAATTGTCTTCAAAATTTGTCGCAAATCATATTTATTTTGCTACAAACTCTCTCTCTCTCTCTCTCTCTTTATTTTTCTCAATCCAATGTAGTAATCATTTAGTTGATGTGTTTTTTATTGTTGTTAAACAGTGCCACACAATAGTGAACACAGCGTGAACTTAACATAAGTATTGGAAGTGCATTAAACTCCCGAAGCAATAGAGTGTCGGTGTTCTGCTTACAGCTCACAAGCAATAAGTGTCTTACAGTTCATCAAATAAATACATTTTTTCTTTGTTGTTGTGTTTTATATATATATTTATTATATTGTTGTTAACAACTACTTAAGCGACTTATTGTTATGTATGTTAAGCTCTTCCCTAATAATTATATGTCCTTTAATTTGATTGTCTTTAATGTTGTTTAAAAAAATCTTTAAATGCATAATATATTTATCACCGAATCTTTACAATACAATACTATACAACAATTTGTGTGTTTGTTAAAAAATATTCAAAAAAATAATGAAAAGATCAGTTTTTAAATATAATAAATATGTTTACTTACCATTGATATTATAACCAACAAAATGATATAATATTTGTTGGTTAAGCATTTTATATGTATGCTAACCGTTGGTGAAAATTTTATTTTTTCCATTTTCGAGTCATTTATGAAGATTCTAATTAATAGTAAGAAAATTTAAAAAAAATAAATAAATAAAAATATTTTAATTAGAAAATAATTTGTTAAAAATAAATTTATTAGATTTAAAATTACTTTTTAAAAAATTTATAATTAATACACTGGTATACAGTATTTCTAGTATTGCATGCATTGCAAGACAAGAGCCTGTAATAAGATTAATGTAAAAAAATAATAATGTTATCTCAACTATCAATGACCTGTTAGCTACAGTAATATACTATATGGTATCTAACAGTACGTTATTAGCCATATAATCAGCTAAATAACACGAGATTAAAATATAATTAATTATATCCGAAATGGTTAAACAATTTGTGAGCCAAAAAAACTCTGTTATCTTTAACTGTTATAATTGATTATTTAAAAAAATTCAGTAATTATGAACACATTTTTTTAATTATGAAAAAAGCTTTTCAATCATTTCAAGTGTTTTATATAATTGTCTTTAACTCACTAATTGCATAGATATTATCACTTGTTTTTTAATGTATATTCTGTAATGTGTTTGTGTGT